AGAAGAAGAAGAAGAAGAAGAAGAAGAAGAAGAAGAAGAAGAAGAAGAAGAAGAAGAAGAAGAAGAAGAAGAAGAAGAGACAGAAAGCTGCCTCCTCAGAGAAATGGCAGAAAAGAAGAAAGCAGGAGTAGGCAGGGCTTATCTCCTGAGAGTGCCACTCCCTGAGTCTATGGGAGTCATTTTCTTTCAAACCACCACAATCCCCAGTGATATGACAGTAGCACATTATCTTGGGAATAACTGTTAAAGATTAAAAGAACATATGTATATTTTCCTCTCTTGGCAGCATACAGCACCTTCCACTATGAATAGCTAGTCCTTGAGAATAGTGCTTTCAGACCAGCTCCAGCTTGATACCTTGAAGGCCTGTGTCCAAAGTCTGTGTTGTCTTCAGCAATAGGATCTACCTTCAAGTTCTGGAGGGCAGGCAAAGAAAATGGCAATACCTATATTGTTTGGGAGAGTCTCTTAGACACAAGCCTCCTTGGCCAACAACTTCAAAGGATGTTATCCATGCCTAGCACTCAGATTTTCTTCAAAGATGGTCTATTGCATTGGAGTTATTCCATGAAGTGTAACTCTACTTCCTCCTCCTCCTTCTCCTCCTCTCTCTCTCTCTCTCTCTCTCTCTCTCTCTCTCTCTCTATATATACATAAATATAAAGATATAAAAACATATATATGGCCTTTATATATTTTTAGGTAAATTTATAAGCATGTTTTCAATGGTTTTTTGGTTTTTAAATTTTATTTTTTAAAAGAAAACAAACTATCTTTTTTCATTTTACGTATGGCCCCCATGTCAGCCACATTAATAGAATCCGGTTTGATCACATGCTCGTTCAGTCCCAGTCCAACTGGCCTTGGTGAGCTCTCCTTAGATCAGTACCCTTGTATCAGTGGGTGTACGCTCCCCTCGCGGTCCTGACTTCCTTGTTCATGTTCTCCCTCCTTCTGCTCCTCATTTGGACCTTGGGGGCTCAGTCCAGTGCTCCAGTGTGGGTCTCTGTCTCTATCTCCATCTATCGTCGGATGAAGGTTCCCTCTGATCCTGATTTCCTTGCTCACGTTCTCCCTCCTTCTGTTTCTCATTTGGACCTAGGGAGTTAAGTCCAGTGTTCCAATGTGGGTCTCTGTCTCTATCTTCATCCATCGCCAGATGAAGGTTCTATGGTGGTATGCAAAATATTCATCAGTATGGTTATGGGCCAAGGCCAGTTCAGGTACCCTCTCCTCTGCTGCCCAGGGAACAATCTGGGGACCTCTCCTTGGACCTGGGAACCTCTCTAGAATCAAGTCTCTTGTAAACCCTAAAGTGGCTCCCTTAGTTGAGATATATACTTCCCTGCTCCCATATCCATCCTTCCTCCCTCTCCCCCATCCCATTTCCTCAAGCTATCCCCAATACTCCCCTTCTCCCTTCTCTCTAACCATCTTCCCTTACTTCCACCCCTCCAGCCCCCCGTGCACCCAAGTTTGCCTGGCCATCTTGTCTACTTCCAATATCCAGGAGGATAACTATATGATTTTCTTCAGATTCACCTTCTTATTTAGCTTCTCTAGGATCACGAATTATAGGCTCAAAGACCTTTAATTATGGCTAGAATCCACTCATGAGTGAGTACATACCATATTCCTCTTTTTGGGTCTGGCTTACCTCACTCAGTAAAGCGTTTTCTATTTCCATCCATTTGCATGCAAAATTCAAGATGTCATTGTTTTTTACCGCCGAGTAAAACTCTAATGTGTATATGTTCCACACCTTCTTTAATCATTCTTCTATTGAGGGGCACCTAGATTGTTTCCAGGTTCTGGCTATTACAAATAGTGCTGCTATGAACATAGTTGAACAAATGCTTTTGTAGTATGATAGGGCATCTCTTGGGTATATTCCCAAGAGTGGAATTGCTGGGTCCTGAGGGAGGTTGACTCCCAGTTTCCTGAGAAACCGCCACACTGATTTCCACAGTAGCTGCACAAGTTTGCATTCCCACCAACAATGGATGAGAGTTCCCCTCACTCCACATCCTCTCCAGCATAGGCTATCATTGGTGTTTTTGAGTTTAGCTATTCTGACAGGTTTAAGATGGTACCTCAAGGTTGTTTTGATTTGCATTTCCCTGATCGCCAAGGAGGTTGAGCATGACTTCAAGTGCCTTTTGGCCATTCTTCTGTTGAGAATTCTCTGTTCAGTTCAGTACCCCATTTTTAAATTGGGTTAATCAGAGTTTTAGTGTCTAGTTTCTTGAGTTCTTTATATATTTTGGAGATCAGACCTTTGTCTGATGAGGGGTTGGTGAAGATCTTCTCCCAGTCAGAAGGCACTGGGACTTGTTTCATCTGCACGTACTGGCTTTTTGGGATCCAGTCTGTTTGGATGCTCACCTTCCTAGACCTGGAGGGAGGGGGGAGGAACTTGAACTTCCTGCAGACTGCTCTTAGGACTGGAGAGGGAGTGGGGGGAGTGGGAGAGTATTGGGAGGAGGGGAGGAAGTGGAAATTTTTATAAATTAATAAAAAAATAAAGTCAAGATACGATAAAAACTGTCTTAGCTTCTAACTGCTTTTAAGTTCTTTCTTTATTTTATAATAATGTGCATCCATATCTGACCATTGGAGTTCCAAACCAACAGTTGTGGGTAGATGACAGTAACTAATCATGCCTATTTGTCTATCAAGTGGAGACATTTGATGGGCTGATTGATGACAAGCTTGGAGCTCATGGGGAAGTTCTGGGTTGTCAGTGTAGACTTGAGATTTATCTGATTATAGAAAACATTTAAATACATGGAACTGGACACAACCTCCTGCAGAGAGATTCTAGACAGAAAAAGAGGGGGGCAAGGAGAGGGCTGTGTGAGACAAGGTGGTCAGACTAACGGAGATGGGCATGAGAAGGAATCTGGAATCATCCTCCACTAGGTCATCGGGACCGAGAGTCCACACTTTTCGAGTGATCCCACCTAATTTTTCTTACAGTATCCCATGTTTACCTGCTTGTCCATCAGAGAACAAGAATCTTTCGCTCTTGTTCCTGGCATTCAGAACAGTATCTAACACAATGTGATAAATGATGAAGTATAGATTTACTTTCCCAGAAATATTCTGAAACATCTTTAGCAAGACACATGGTATAAGACATAACATTCATGAATACTTTCATATACCTACTAACATAAATGAAGATTATTACCTTATCCCTAAGAATTTTCCCTATTATTACAGAGAGAAGAGTCACTCAAAATAGGGCCTAAAAAGCAAAACAAAATAAAACAAAATGGCCTAACACTCACCAGAAGCAGAAGCACATGAAAACTTGTTTACAGTGTAATTTCTAGGCTCCTAAAGTATTATGTCATTCTTACTCAAACTAAAATTTAAAAAGTACTAATAAAGATAATGCAAATAAAAGTCTTCATTTCAAAATTCTCCAGACCTTCAAACAAGTGAATGATGCACATGGATTTTAACATTATTTAAAGATTGTAAAAGCATGATTTACATGGAACTCTTGCTTTAATGGGAACTGGAAACTGATGTTAAAAAAGCATGCAAAACAGAAAGAAGTACATATGTCAGTCACTTTTCATCACTGTGCCAAAATACCTAAAATAAATTTAAAGGATGAAATATTTATTTCGGCTATAAAGACATAGTGGTGTGTGCCTTTAATCCCAGCACTTGAGAGGCAGAGGCAGGCAGATCTCTGTGAGTTTGGGGACAGCTTGGTGTGCCTGGTGAGTTCTAGGACAGCTAGCCCTATGCAGAGAGAGACCCTGCTTCAAAACAAACAAACAAAAGAAAACAAACACACGTATTGGCTTACAGGTTGAGAGACCAGTGGTGAGTCACAGCATCATGGTGGGGAGTGTGTGAGACTGCAAAGCTGTCCAGGAAGCACAGAGAGATAAAAGAAGCTATATCCTTCAAAGGCACAGTCCTTCAATGATTTGTCTTCCTGAAGCAGTCTTCAATTTCTAACAGCTCATTCAGATGTGACATTACCAATGGTCAAATCACCTCTCAGATACTCCACAACTGAACATTGCTGCATGGAAAAACCAAAATTTCAACACACGAGCCTTATGGTGAAGGGAGGAGTATTTTACTTCCAAACTCAATATATAATAGCGCCACAATTACAGCTTACCTGACACATGCCAAATGAATTCTGCAGGCTTCAGAGAACACTCCACTCAACTACTTAAACAAGGCGCATCAGTTATAGTCTGTTATGCAGCAAATGGGACATTGGGCGAAAAAATATGACAACTTAATTAGTGAAAGCATGTATATCCCAAGAGTAGAAGGCCCAGAGAAGGCACGAGGAACAATTGGGAAGTTGCTGTCAGCAACCTGAGTCTAGCCCTCCCAACTGACTTTGAGCAAGTTACTTCATTTCCCCACATTTCACTTTAAACTGTGGTTGAGTAGATATAATCCTGAGTATCTATAAGGTCAGAAAAGATTGTTGTCTCTTTAAAGACAGAACCTTCAGTTATTTCTGGCACAGGTTCAGTGAAACTAGAAACATTAATCACCTGAGATAATGCATTACAAGGCATGTGTAAGACATGTTACGTTAATGTGTTAATGCGTTCTGCCTGTGGAAGAGAGACGGATGCAACAGATACCCAGAGAGATTTGAAGCCAGGAGATGGAGAGAGATGTGTACCTTGACGTCCTGTTTTTAATCTGTTTTTAAGATTCCACTTCCATTTTGTATTGACATCTAGATGTATCCTGCTGTTGGAGATGTAGGTAAATAGACCTGAGTGGCATCATATAAATATAGTTTTTCAGTGTTACTAGTGGGAAATTTACACACATAAAACTGTGTTCCTGAGGGACACTACCTTGTACATGTCACATCCTGGCATTGTAACATAATCACTTATTCTATGTGTTTATGTCTCCAGACACTAATGACCACTTTTAATAATGGCTTTACTGAATAGCTGTGGGGTTTTAAAAATTGGTTCATGAAAAACTCGGCACAGTGAATGGCTTTTTCTACATTCATTGAATGTTACCTAGTGGATATGGAAAACAGAACTGACAAAAAAGGGTAATGAAGTTTAGCGGTTTTCATTCCACAGCTGGCTGGAAGGTGGCACCATCACTGAGGTACTGAATACAAGAACAAGGCTTCCTTTCCATGCGTGTGTGATAATTACTGTGATTTTTCAAAGTTCCATGCGGCTTCGTCTGGACATAAGAATGCCATATCGGCTACAGAACTTTAAGACTGTAAATACACTGAACGCGTATCACGTAGCAAGTGCTGAGGATACGATCTTGGAGTCTGTGGTAAGTTGAAAGCACCTCTGAACAGTCTCATTATCCCAAAGTGCAGACTATGTGAAGCGGAATACTAACGCGAAGGTTAACTGAGAGCCAACTTCCCTGTGTGCATGAAGAAGGGACTGGAGATGGAAGACAGGAAAGGGGGCAGGTGTGGAGAACAGAAGAAAGGGCGTCAGAGGAGGGGAAAAACTAATAAATAACCATAAAGAACAGAAAACGGGTAAAATTTAGAAAACATAAAGGAAACTCTCTAAGTGCTCCCAGCTATGTCGCTGGCTAGGGACCACATTCCTACTAAGGTGTCATCAAAGCTCTCGAACTCGGGATCCCCCGCTCAGAAAGCGTTCTAAGGGCGCCAACTTCCGGGACGGGCTCGGCGCCGTGTTGTGACGTCACGACTGACCGGGACTTCCGATTCTGGTGCCGCTTTGCCAGATCTGTGGATAGCTTGATACACCTTGCAGGTGAACAGGTGAGGTGCTGCAGACCGCACGGTGGGTGGTTTTCCCTGAGGAAGGACGGGAGTGCTGCGCTCAAGGCGGTGACGGGATAACGACTTCATCCCGGGTGCGGAGCCGCTGAATTTGGTCGTGGAGAACGAGATGGTACTGCATGCACCCCAACTGTGACAAGGTCGCCAGCGGCTCCCTGGGAAGGGATGAGCCTGTGCCACGTTAGGCAGTGCGCTAGAAATGAGTCAGAGTCCGTCTGGGGCTGCCCTCGCATCTCTTCCTGCCTTAGTTGCCAACTCTCACTTTTGGCGGTTTCCCCCACTCTCTCGCTGCTCAGAATACAGGTTGAGACAATTCATTCATTACTCACTAATTCATCTCTTCCCTTTCAAGTTATTACTGATCATCTGCTCTCTGTTCTGTATGCTAAACAGTGGGAGAACGGATAGTCTGCCATTTGAACCCTCCCATCTTTCTTTGCCCTTTTAATTTTAAAAGCTTGTCCTTATTGCTGGGGTGGGTGGTGCAACCAAACAGACCCGGGAAAGTAGAAAAATCTCTCGTCTTGTGATGGTGGCGCGTAAGCCTTTAAAACTAGCACTCGGGAGGAAGAGGCAGGCGGATCTTTGTGAGTTCGAGGCCAACCTGGACTACAGAGCGAGTTCTAGGACAGGTTCCAAGGCTACAGAGAAACCCTGTCTCGAAAGACAAAAACAAAACAAACAAAACAACAACAACAAAAATTTCTAGGCTTAAGTCACAAAGATTTGTTAAAACAAACTTTGAAACCGTAAGCTGTAATGTTTGGTGTCTGTTGAATACTTTCTTGTTTTCCATGTGAAGTTGAAAGATGTTTCTGTCCCGGGTGGTTTCTCCCAAGAAATCCACACGAGAATTACCTTCACCATTGCAGATAATGTGTTGTTGCTCTGTGACTGATTTAAGAAAAACTTTTTTCTTTGTTTTTAGTTTTTCAAAATGCATCTTTGGCATGCCTTGCATTTCTGTAGATTTCTCCAACTTGAGGTTTGCTCAGCTTCTTGAATCCATCTGTAGATTTATGTCCTTCTCAAATTTGGGGAGCTTCCAGATACTGTTTTCTCTCAGTGTCTCGTTTAGCCCCACAATGTCTCCTCTGGAACTCTGCTTGTATGAATTTTAGGTTGTCATTGTAGTAGAAGTTCTGGGCTACTGCTAAGTTTTTAGACTATTTCCCACTAATTCAGGTTCATTAATCCGGTGACTCTATCCAAGTCTTCTGATCCAGTTTTCTGTTGGTTTCACCCTGCAGTTGATCCCACTATACAAGTTAATTATTATTTTTAAGTCCCTTGCTCTTGTTTCTTATACAGCATTCTTTGGGTAGCTTCCAAACTTTAGTGTGTTCTTACATTTTTTCTGATTTTTCCTCAGTCTTCTTATAAGAACACTTTAATCTAGTCCTTTCTTACTTGAAAACTATTACCTTCCTGATGCTGTCAACATTTTCCCAAACTACTTTGAGGAAGAAATTGGGATGTTAGCAGGTCGGAGAGACTGGTAAGAATTGGCAATGTGGCAGATCACTTTCTGAGATGGTATGTTTGTCTCTTAAAGGTTCAAAATGCCTATCAGTGTGTTGTGAACTAATGCTCCATGACTGATGAATGAGGTGAGGTCCTAAGAGGTCAGAGAACTTTAATCCTCGGGAGACACTTGTATTTGGAAATCAACATGTCTGCACTGCAAAAATCCATTAAAACAGGTCACCTGGAAAGCTTAGCTAGGGATGATGTGTTCTGCTTTTCTAAACCAAGAACCTATTGTTGTCTTGGAGCACCCGTTGTAGAGTTATCAATAAGGTTACTTCCTGATGACCCCTGTTCCAGTGAACACGTCAAAGCCAGCTGTTGAGTTTTCTTAACTAACCTACTTGAGATTTGACCAAGACTATCTATACCCTATCCTTTTAAAATTTCTAATCCACATAATCTGTGAGGATATAACACATTGTTTAAAGGTTTAAGTGTTAGGATGGTGTGCCATGTTGTATGAACAAGTGGGGTGCCCTGTAATTCTTAGGAACTTTTTAATTTTTAAATTGTCACAGCTCTCAATTCAGGTCCCTTGCAAGATATAGTGTGGAATTATTGGTCCCCCTAACTCATTAAGCTGGTGTTCAAGTCCTTCATAGTCTGGAGTTGTAGAAGTCCAGCCCTGATCTCAACGTGTGTGTGTGTGTGTGTGTGTGTGTGTGTGTATTTCTGCAAATTTGTCCACTGTGATTAGCATTATACTTTATAGAGTTTTTTATTTTGTATTTTTTTGAGATGGTGTCTTCTTTAATCTAGGCTGACCTTGAACCTGATCTTACCTCTACCTTCTAGTGCTAGGAAAATAGGCCTTAGCCTCAACATCTGGGTTTTTGTTTTGTAGGGTTTGTTTGTTTTTTTTGACAATTTTATATCATATAGCCCTGACTGGTCTCAAACTCACAACATTCTTGCCTTAGCCCCCCACATTCTGGGATTCTGGACGTGCACCAACACACCCAGATGATAGTTTCCATATTTTCTTCTAGAAAGCCCTTATGGTTATTAGCCATCTGTTTGGGGCCATTCGCTTTTAAAATGTGCTTTTCTGACATTTTACCTGTATTTTAATTGGGTTGTGTCTTTTTTTACTGATTTGTAGATGTTCTTTGCATATTCTGGACATGTGCTTGTTGAAGTCTATTTTGTATGTATAGATACTATACACATAATGTAAAAAGTATGAACTGATGTTGTAGCTCCGTGATAGAGCAATTACCTAATATATGCAAGGTCCTAGGTTCAATCCCTAGCCCCACAAAAAGGTGGTTATATCTTTAGATAGATTGTATACAGAGAAATTAAGAGAATGAGAAGAAAATTACAGAGTGGGAGAACACTGAACCTGTTCACATACATGCACGTACACAAATGCATTATGGTATAGGTAGCATTCAAGATTCACACCTGTTTCTGGAGAACATCCTAACATCGGTCTTACAACCAGAAAGCTGTACATATGCACGTGCATCCTCTCCTACTCTGTTTTCTGACTATACTTTCACTACCAGTGTCTAGTGATGAATGCATGTTTTTATCTAAAGAATGCATTTTAAAGCCCTTTCCTTTATGGCTATGGTGTGCTGTAACTGGTTTAAGTAACCTTTGACTGTACAAAGGTCAGGAGATAAGTTGTGATGGAAACATGAGTCTCTTGGACGTTTTATTGTTCTCTTTGTTTTATGCTATATGTGGCTTCCTCTGTGTTGTGGTCGATTCATTTTCTATGTTGATATCTAGTTGGCCCGTGTTGTTTGTTTGAAAGACCATCTTTTTCTTATTTCTATTTCCACAGACCGTCTCCACTATTCTGTTTCCAGAGACCCAATTCTCAGTCTCCTCCCTAGCTCTGCAAGAGATCACCAGCTGAGGGTTCCCTTCCTGTTGCAGCTGCCCATGTCTCCTGCGTATCCCAGGGACCATCCCTTCCAACCCCTTCCCTCAAGTCCTTGCTTCATCCCAGCCTGAAAACCAGGAGTCATTCCCCATGACTATCAGCCAAGCAGGCCAGGAAAATGTGCAACACACAGCCATCACAGTCTGTGGGCAGGTTTCTCAAAGCTGTGGCCTGAAGTTGAACAGGGATCATCTGCTTGAGCTGGGGGCTGGGATATAGCAATGAGTCAGGAAGGGAAGCCAGGAGAGATTGGTCTGGGGAATCCACAGGAGATGTGGGCAGGGGAAAGGGAGGCTGCAGCTGGTGTCTGCTGCAGCGCTGGAGATGAGCCAACCCTGAGGGATTGGGTCTGGGGAAACAGAGAGAGCAGAGTGCTGCCGACAGGCTCTGTATTCCGTATTTTTGATGTTATATTTTTAAAATTTATTCTCTGCCTTTTTATCATTCATATATCACGTTTTGTTTTTCCTGTTAAGCAAATTTTTTATACATTCTTGGACCATTCTTTTAGTGTTACTGGTATTTTTTATAACAGGCAGAAAAAGCTTTTCATTGGCTTCTCCAGTTGTCACCAGTGGAAGATTTTTTGGAAGCAACTGATCTGCTATTGCAAAATCAGATTCACTACATTTTCAACTTAAAAGCAAACCTCGAATGACTGGGAATATTAAGTAGTAGAACACTTGTCTAGCATGTGTGCAAGGCCCTGGGTTCAATCCCCAGCCCCACTCAAAAAAAAAAAAAAAAGACCTCCAAGCAAAGCCAACTGCCAGTCTCACCTCTGTGGTTTAACATATACGGGTAACCAGCTTGTTAGTATTTGGACTAGAGCTTCTGCTGTTTTCATATTTCCTTCTCACATCGTCTTTCCATATGAATTACAAGCTTGCTGTGTCTGCCACAAACCTTTCAAAAGCCAATCTGTGCATTCCAGTCGCCAAATAGTTCACAAGTAGCTTAAACGCTGGTACCCAGGAACCACACGAATTAATTTCCATTCAAGAATCAGACATGCGCGAGTGTGTGTTCTGCTGTGTCTCATGGTGAGACGGCAGTGATTCACGGGAAGACAGGCTTCTGGGGACGCTTTAGGAGCTTCTTAGACTCCCATGTGTGTGGTAAGTGACACAGGTTCTTAGCAGACAGAGTAATGGAACTCTTGCAGACTGGGCGGCTGCTCCCTGGGTAAAGTGCGCGCTGTGCATGCTGAAGGACCTGAGTTTGGACCCCGAGTGCTCACTGAAGAGCTCTGTTGTGACCCCGGCACAGGGAGAGCGGGAGGGGACATAAGGGTCCTGGAAGCTTACTGGCCAGCCAGTCAGCGCAGAGAGACCCTGTCTGAAGAAATTAAGGTCCCTGCGAGCATAGACAAACATACCCTAAGTTGACCTCTGCCCTCCATACATATGCAAACAGGTGAGGACACACATG